CCAATGTTTTAATAAATATTGAGCAGTTCTTATGCTCTTGTCATTAGTCGAGCATTATAGATCTTTGATTTATCAATTCCTGATTAATCTTCAGTGACCTAAGTTTATTATGCAAAATATTTAGGCTAATTTTGCACCTCATTATGCATTTCTTAGTCAGTATACACTTTAAGTCTAGCCAGATATCCAGTTTAAGGCAGTAAAATTTCATTTAGTATCTCAATGAAAGCTTTTTTGAATTTCTGTAATAAAGGAATACCTCCATATTCCAAAAGTATATAAATAATAAGAGAGCTTAACTAGTGGAATCTAAAATTCAGGTATAATATTAACTACTAGAATAGTTTTCCTATATAAGCATCATCGCTCATGATTGTAAATATCGTCTTGCATGCTTGCTCAATTCTCGAATAAGTATTTTCAGGATCCTCTCTGTATCTTTAACTGAGATCCTTTTAGTAACCTAATGCTGATACCAAATCTATCTCTTATTAATAATCCTGTAACTTTGGGTAAGAAGGCAATAAGATTGAAGCAGCTTTCATTACTCTTCCTATTATGATTTCCTTTATTTAAAGTTAGGGCATTTAGTAAGAAATCTTATGAATGATCTCTCCATAGAACTGAATTATCACAGATTTGTTGTCTTTTACGTTTTGTTACTTAGACTTGAATATCTGTGTGAACAAAATAGATGCAAGGACTTAACTCGCATACTTTTTTATGTTTGATGATTAGTTAAGCTATATCATAATCTACATGAACTTCTCAGCCTAAGCCTAATTGTGAACGCTCTTCTATTCTAAGCTCCAATCATCATGTGGATTCGTCATCTTACTAAGAGCAGAATTTAGAATATCACCAATGTCTTTTCCATAATGACTTTTTGCTTCTTGCTAATTTTTCTCTTCATTGTCTGAAATCCATTTAATTAGTTTTTCATATGAATTTTTAATCTTTTAATTTTACTCCCTTACTTATAGATTAGGCGACAAATACTTTTTGTTGCTCTTATTGATCAATTAATTGTCTTAAAACTCAGCTATTAGTAGGTTTGATGATAATTAGCTACTAGAGCCTATTTAAACTGTAAGAGATGCAACTTTAGGCTGATTTTATTATACTATCTATGATGTTTATGAAGCACTTGTTATTGAATTAGTTTATATCTAGGATGCTTGAGGTGTAACAATTTATTGTTATTAAATGTGCTATTATGTTTAAGCAGTATTTTATTATTAAATTGATTTTGATTCTTTCAATTTAGCTTATTCATCTAGTTCTAGAGCCTTCATTTTCTACTAAAATTCTGCCTCTTATTGCACTAACTTATTCTAAGCTTCCTCATCTAATTTGGCTTTTAACTTTGCAATAATATCTTGACGTTCAAGTTCTTTTTACTTCTTGATTTTATTGATTTCATCATCCTCTAATTTTACTTGCTGTATGAGTTTCTATTTTTGATGTTATCTATCGTTTAATTCCTTCTGATATTATTCAAATTAGTTTTTAAATTGAGTCTCAGACTTATAACTAATTTCATTAAATCCTTTGTTATTGGATTGAATATACTATTATCCCCCAGTCTAATTTGTTCTTATTATTTTAATCTCATTCTTGGTATATATGACATTCATATTTTATTTATTGTCTGATTCAATTTCTTCCAAAAAATTAGACTAATCATGATTAAATCCAATCCTCAAGCCTTAAAGATTTTACCTATTTTCTTAGATCTAGTTCTTTAAGAATATATGCTATTTATTGTAATTTTGCAAAAAGATATTTTCCTCAAATCACCCGTGATACTGAAGTTGGGAAAATAGATCCGTTTTTAATAGAGTTTGCTATGAGTTCAAAAATTGATTGTCCTTCAATTGTTAGTTTGAAATGAATGGATTTGAAATGTCTACTATATCTTGTCTCTTATTATTACTAGGATTATTGATTTGGCAGAGCATTTATTAGTTTGGATTTTCTGTTTCTGATATATCCTAAAAACCTCTCTTTAAATATTTTTTTGTGGTTTTCCTCATTTTATTAATTAATACTTTTCCTATAATATAACATTATTAACTCAACGGGGTTTTGGGGTTTTGGGG